CCTGGAACCAATCAATGTGCTGTTTGGCATGGCAAAAGGGAATCTGCAGGTGTGATTAAATTAATCATCTTGAGACCTGAGATGGGAAGGTTACCCGGATTATCCAGGGGTGCATGATGTAATCACAAGGGTGCTTGTGTAGATAAAAGGTGGAGGTATGAGAGAAAAACAGGCAGAGGCAGAACTGTGATGACCAGAAAGTCAGCATCAGAGTGACAAGCCTGCTGGCTGGGAGCCAGGGGCCGAGGAATGAATGATTGATTTTAGAGCATGACCTCCACAAATAGGAAAAGGCAAGAGAATGGATTGTCCCTTAGTGTCTCCCCGTACCCCCTGCACAAAGGAACATGCCCTGCTGACCTATTTTAGACATCTGACCTCCAAAACTCTATTAGTTTTCTTCTATAAGAGGGTAAATTTGTGATGCTTAAAGTGACTACTTTCTCAGAAATTAGTTACAACTGGAACAGGAAGCTACTACTGTTTGAAAGGAGTCCTGGCGTGGTGCTGCAGGTTAATGCACTGGACTGCAAAGTCAGTTTGATCCACAAGGTCAGTGGTTGAAGCTCACCAGCTGCTCCTCGGAAACCGTATACAGGGTCACTATGGGTCGGAACCGACTCAACGGCACTTCACAACAACAAGTGGTAGAAATGCAATGAAGCATGGTAACCTGGAGCCAAGGGGAAGAAGTGGAGACAGGGCCACCATGTCCAGAAGTGCTGTTGGACCAGGTAAGATGGGGGAGCAGTGACTATCAGGTTTAGGGAGGTGAAGGGCACTCAGTGGAGTCGTGGGCACTAAAGTCTCACTGGAGTGGGATTAAGAGAGAACCACCACAAAAAAACACTAACACTTACAGGTCACAGTGCCCCTGTAAGCAAGAAGGGGGTGATCATCACATGTCTGCCTAAATAAATGAGGACCACTTATGGAACGACAGTGACTGAGTGTCATCAAAAAAACAAGAAAGGGACACTGGATGGGTGTTGTTCAGGCGTCAGTCAGGTTATTTCCTGGAACGCTTCCAAAGAAAGTTATTCTAGTGTTTCTGGGATTCCTGTTGATTTCTTATTTCCCCCAGAGCATCCCGATTTGGGGTCTCTCTCCCCGATTCTGGGTCTTAAATCTTCATTTACTGATTTCAGTGGTGAGTCCTGGGACTCTTGGAGCCTGTGTTTACCTAAGTGTGAGCATGGAATTACAGTGACCCTGTGCCTGATATTCTACATGGTAGCCTCACTGGTTCTGGGGTCAGCTTCCAGGGAAGACTCACTGGTACACATCAGGCCAGAGTTTGGAAGGCCCTAGGAGGCAGGGACAGACCATGACTGCTGACTGGCCAGGTAGCCTCCATTGGAAAGCCTGCCTTTTAGCCGAGTGGCTCTCTCTCTCCTACAGTTAGCTGAATTCTCATGGCCACTCCACTCTGCAGGTAGGGGCAGTCTGACAAGTTTGCCAAGAATCAGCTTCTATCTGAGCTTGAGATGTTCCAGAGTCTGGGGTAGGGCAAGAACCCCAAGTCTTCCTGTACTTAAAGATTCAAGTCCTGAAGCTCAGAGTGACCAGAGCTCCCTGTGGCAAAATTTGTAGGTTTGCCAGCTGCTCAGAGACAGACATGCCCCCTGTGGGACTGGGATATGGCACCTAGAGATAGTCCCATCAGACACTGGGGTCACCCTGATACGAGTGGATAAGGAATTGACTTCCTCCAGGGTCTCCTCAAACAGGGCTGTTACTCAGCTGGCATGGTATTATGTTTGCCCATGGGAAGAGTTCTCAAGGTCTGTGTGTCCAAAGCGAGCAAGTCTGAGCCATTTTCTGACAGTTCTTATCCTATGGGCCAGAAGGACCCCTGTAGGGTGTGATAAAAGCTGTCTCTCTCTCTCACTATTTTCACACACAAATTCACCTCTGTCATCAATTGCCTTTTCCCCAAGTGTGGCATGCACTCCGCTTATGGTGTGTAGGATGATCTTAGGGGATGTCAAAAATGATTTCTTATTCTAATCATTCTATATTTATTTTCTAGAGTCCTGGTGTGACACTGTAGGATAAGCACTGAACTGCTGACTAAGGTCAGTGGTTCAAACCCACCACCTGCTCCTCAGAAGCCCTATACATGGTTGCTGTGAGATGGAACCGACTCGATGGCACTTAACAACGACATATTTATTTCTAGCACCCGTCTATCAGTTTGTTGTGCTGTGGTGAACAACTGTATGTTGCTATAATGCTGGAAAGTAGACCATACCAGGGGTATTTCAAATACCAGCAGGGTCACCCACGATGGGCGGGTTTCAGAAACGCTTCCGGATGAAGACAGACTAGGAAGAAAAGCCTACAGACCTACTTCCTACTTAGTTGATGAAGGCTCATAACAGACTATGTTCAATGCAGTGCTGGAGGATGAGGTCCCTAGGTTGGAAGGCATAGACTGTCTGCAGCAATGCATTCCAGCATACCAACAACTGTGAAGGTGGGACAGGAACAGCCACTCATGCCTTTTGCTGTACACAAGGTTGTCAGGAGTCAGATGCGAATGGACCACAAGTAACAACAGCAGCACAAATTTAAGGTGTGTGTAAAACCTGTGATTTTGCTGGTAGTATTGCCTACGCTGTAAGATAAGCAGTCGACCACAAGGTCGGTGTAAACCGTGAGGGTCGTGGTTTAAACTCACCAACCATTCCTCGGAAACCCTATATAGAGTCACTATGGGTCGGAACCGACTTGACAGCACTTAACAACAACAATTGCTTATGATGAGTCAATGATAAAGCAAAAAGTGAATCTGTTTAAAGATTAGTAGTAGATGTAATATTGCAAACCAAGCTAATACAAAGTCACGCTGTTGAATTGATTCCAGTTCATAGTTACCCTAGAGGACAGAGCAGAACTGCTCCCTAGGGCTCATGTAAGAACAGAGTTCCTCCAGCATCAGTGTGTCACCCTACGAGGAACTCTCTTCTTAAGCCACACTCTAAGGCTCTTGGCTCTAGAACACAGTTACAATGTAGGTTGGGTCCCTGAACCATACCACAACACAGACAATCCCTAGTCTTCTTGTCCGAGATGCTCTGATTTTCTGCATTTTAGTTGTAATTATGATGTAAGCTTCTGCCTTCTCAGTCTGATTTAACAGCAAACATCAACCTCCAAGATTAAACTGGGCTCCTGCCCACAGAACATAAAGTTCTGGCTTTCTGTCTGGGAACTCACAAATCCACTCTTTTTCTCCCCATGGTCATAGTCATCCTAATGTAAGTTATTGTGGCCTGTTGCCTGGACCATGCAGTGGCCTCCTGGTCTCCTGACATCTACATTTACCCCCTATGTACTTTTTTTTTTTTTTTTTGTTTTTTTGTACTGTAGCCTGGGTCCTCTTCCAAAGATGCAAATCTGACCATGCCACACCCCTGCTTAAACACCGTCCCTTACTTCCAGAGGCTCTTCCAAATCCTGACCAAGGCTTACAAAGTTCTGAATAGTTTGGATGTGGGATCTCACCCCACATTATTCTCCCTCACCCACCAGACTCAGGTCACACTGGTTTAATTTTTGTCCCTTGACTGTGTCAAATCCTTTTCCTTCAGAACCTTCTTCACACATGCTCTTCCCTCTGGAATGTTCTTCCTGGCTCACTTTACCTGGCTAAATCCTATCTAATGTTTTAGCTCTCTAAATAATTATCTGTTTCTCAAGAAAGCTCTCCATGAACTCATTCCCCCAAGTCTGGGGTACCCCTGAACCACATTCTGACAGCCCCATTAAATCATTACTGGGCAGTTAACATATTCCATCCCCTCTCATTAGCCTGTCGGTTCCACATAGACAGGAATCACATTGGTTTTGTTCGCTGGTGCCTCCTCCCCAGTGCCAAGCACAGTGCTGTCCATCAATCACTAAATGACCAAGTGAGTGAGTGAATAAATGATGGAAGATTTAGGCAAGGCCAACTCAATGAGGAGTCAACTGGAGCAGAGAGAGGTAAATCCTTCCTTCCAAAGAACTAACAGCACTTGTTAGGCCCATCTGGAAAGCAAGAGCTTAGTAAGAGGTGAGCAGCTGTTAGTTCATTTCCAAAGATGGTGGCCCAAGCCTACCTGGAGCCCTGTGAATGGGGCCTATCTCTCCTGATGGGGACAGCATCAGCTTTGGAGACAGATACGCTTGGTTTCCCCCTTAGCTGTTTGACCTTGGACAAATTCCACATGCTAAAATGGGAATAACAATATGAGGAGGTTTAAAAAGTCGGTGGGAAATGGAATGATAAGAGCATGGAATTTTCCCACAAACTTTTTGAAGCCCACTTGTACATACCCTAGGGCCATCAGATGGAGGCTTAAATACCAGAGAACCTGAACTGTATGGCAGCATACACTTTCACACACAACCTGAATTTACAGGGCGAATCCCTTTATGCTGAAAACCCAAATTACTCCTTGTCCTCTCCTAGACCCCCAGGCCAGCGCTGAGGACAAAGGATGGAGGGACCTCTCTCTCCAATCACACTCTCCACCCACTCAGCTGAGCTAAGCGCAGGGTTAAGGAAACCCAAGCTAGCTGAGGAGAGCAACCCACCAACACTTGTTGGAAACAGGAGTGGGGTGGGGGTGTGGCGGGGGAAACAGGTGAATCTTGGAACCTCTCTTGTGAACAGAAATGGGGGCAGTTGCAAAGAGGAGAGAGACTGAGGGAAGAGGAAGGGAACTGGGGTGTGTGAGGAGGGGTGGGGCCAGTAATCGTAACCCACATTGTCAGATGGCAGAGGCTGCAGAGGCAACAGGTAGAAAGGTGATAACTGAAGAGGTGGGTGAATTAGAGGCTGGAGTAGGGTCGCAGAACACCTGTTACCTGGAGAGAGGGGGGAGCTGGGAGGAGCGCCGAGGCTGTTACCTCGGGTCCCTCCTAGAGCGCAGGTGAATGGGGCTCACCAGGGACCGGGGACTGGAGAGGGCAAGCGGGGGGCGCGGGGAGGTACCCTGGATCGGCTGTACCTGCGGGTCCCCTCGCAGCTCGCCCACGTAGTACTGCTCCAGCCACCGGCGCGCATTGGCAGAGTGCCGGTGCGGCGGCCCGTCCAGGTCGGCGCTAATATCCTGGCCAGCCCGCGCCTGCAGCAGCTGCTCGCCACCCGGGTGTTGCCGCACGAAGCCGGTCAGGTCGTAGAGACGGGCACCGCAGCGGACCCAGCAGAGGCCAGCCTCCAGGTGCCTCTGGACGTCGGCGGACGAGAAGGAGGTGGAGAGGGGCGGAGCGGGGGCCATGACCGGAGATGGCAGCTCGTAGCTCGAAGCGCTGGAGTCTGCTCGGCGGCCGCCCAGCGCGCCTCTAACAGCCCCGGCGCCCGGGCAGGCGCGCCGGGCCCGCAGCCACGGCACCTGCTCATTTGCATGCTGTGCTTCCATTGGCCGCTTCGCTGGACGCGGCCAGAGCCGGGAGCTGCCCCCGCCCCATTGGCCCGCCGGACGCTCAGGCGACCCAAGAGGGGACGGGCAGGCGCAGGTGGCCCTGGGCAGGTAGAGGGCGCGCCGGCCAGGTATATTCCGTTGCAAGAGGAAAGCGAAGGCGGCGGGCGACAGCAGGGGGAGCAAGTCAATCTCATGGAGGATGTCTGTCCAGATCGATATGGAGTAACTCCTGTTACTGCTTCAAAAGTAATACTCCTTCGAGCGCAAAATTTAAGGCGGCGCCCCAAACTCAGTAATAGAGATAAAGAATATTTTCATATGATATTTGAAATAAATTATATCGACAAACCACAGCCCTTAGGTTGGCAAAGTGTTTTTGTACAAGTTTCATTGGTATTAGTGAGGCAGGATCATGAAAGTGCAGGGTTAGATCTCATCTTTATTGTAAAAAGTTTCTACGGATTTTTTTTGGTATAAATTTTGAATTCTTAAAATTGTGTACAAATATAGACACTAAAACATTCGCCAGCACAACTTCTACAATTACAACTCAGACGTTGACACTTTTCATGTTGTGCCACCATCATTCCTATCCTTTTCCAAAATGCTACACCACCATTATCACAAATTCAATGTCCCCCAAACAAAAACTCCTTTCCCTCCTCTCTTTAACCCTTGAACAAAATCACCTACCGTCACTGAGTGATTCCAACTCATAGCAACCTTGTATAGGGTTTTTGAGGCTGTAAATATTTAGGGAGCAGAAAACCTCAATCTTTCCCCTGCAGAGCAGCTGGTGGATTTGAACTGCCAACCTTGTGCTTATCCCACAGTGCCAATAGGTCCTTCAACCCCTTGTTGTTGTTGTTGTTAAGTGCCATCGAGTCGGGTCCGACCCATAGCGAACCTGTACAGGGTTTCCGAGGGTGTAAATCTTTACGGGAGTAGAAAGCCTCATCTTTCTCCCGCGGATAGGCTGGTAGTTTTGAACCGCTGACCTTAAGGTTCGCAGCCCGATTCGTAACCACTACGCTACCAGAGCTCCTTCAACCCCTGGTAACCACTAATAATACTGGTTTCTATATATTTGTTTTTTTCATGTTCTTGAGATCATACAGTGTCCTTTTTCAACTGACTTATTTCACTTTACATGTTTTTGATGTTCTTTTATGTTGTGGTATGCGTCAGAACTTCATTTCTGTAAGACGGTGGCATAATATTCAATTGTATGTATATACCACCTTTGTTTATCCATTCATCTGTTTATGGACATTTGGTTGTTTCCACCTATTGGCTCTTGTGTAAAGTGTTGCAATGATATAAAGGCAAGAAGTGACTGGCTTACAAGCTTTCAAGAAGGAGCCTACTAACAGACGGGGTGGGGGAAGATAGAATCATCACTGAATGATTTCCAATCTGTTGGGACCGGGCTGGTGAAAGGAAATGGGGAAAAGACTCTTGTGTACAATAATGAATAATTGCCATCAGGACTGATTGTGAGGATAGGAAATTATACAGGTAGATGTTTTTTGACAAAAGGAGAGTGATTTGATTTTGTAGCCCAGAAGCAGAGGTCCCTGAGACCATCAAGTGAGAAGAACAGAGAGCGGACTCCTACCCAAAGAGGCAGTGATGCCAGGGATGGAGACGGAGACGATGGTGGGGACAGATGGAGCAGATGGGGACACTGGACTCAGGGAGGGAGAAGGGCTGTGTGCTGGCGGCTGGAGGGCAGGCCTTGTGGTGTACCCTTTGGTTATCTGATGATGCATGGAGGGGATTGTAATAATGACAATGAAATGAAATACGATAGGACGAGTGTAAAGCTGATATTCTCCCAAGTAAACCTCGCAATAAAAACTTAAAAAAAAAAAAGATAATGAATATTTTTCTGGGAACTTTTTTAAAGCCCCCTCAAATGTCTATTTAAATAGGAATTCCAGGAGAGATAGAATAGAGAATAGTGAAAAAATAATATCTCCAATTTTCTCTTCAATATCTATTAGTATCTAAGAATTCACTAGAATTAAAAATATGATCATATTCAAAGTGCTGCAATGAACATTGGTGTACAGATTTCTGTTGGTGTTCCTGCCTTCACTTCGTCTGGGTATTTACCTAGAATTAGGATTGCTAGGTCATAAAATCATTAGATGTGGGAAATGATGATTGTTTACATTCCCATCAGCAATGAATGAGGGTTTCTGTTTCTCCACAACCTCATTAACATTTGTTTCCCATTTCGGTCATTGTTATTCTGATGGAGACGAGGTGCTATCTCATTTTGCTTTTGCTTTTCATTATTCTAATGGGGTCTTCTAAGGTCCTCTTTATTCATTGTCCAGCTTTCACATGCATATGAGGTTATTGAAAATACCATGGCTTGGGTGATGGGCACCTTAGTCCTCAAGCTGACATCTTTGTTCTTCAACACTTTAAAAAGGTCTTGTGCAGCAGATTTGCCTAATGCAATACATCATTTGATTTCTTGACTGCTGCTTCCGTGAGGGTTGATAGTTCATCCAAGAAGAATGAAGTCCTTGACAACTTCAATCTTTTCTCTGTTGATAAGAATGTTGTTTATTGGTCCAGTAGTGAGGATTTTTGTTTTTTGTTTTTTACATTGAGATGTAATCCATGCTGAAGGCTGTGCTCTTTGATCTTCATCAATTAATGTTTGAATTATGGTGTTGGAGGAGAATATTGAAAGTGTCATGGGCTGCCAAAAGAACCAACTGATCCGTTTTGGAAGAAGTGCAGCCAGAGTGCTCCTTGAAGGCCAAGATGGCCAAACTTCATCTCTCATACATCGGACATATTGTCAGGAGGGACCAGTCACTGGAGAAGGGTATCATGTTTGGTAGGGTGGAGGATTAGAGAAAAAGAGGAAGACCCCCAGTGAGATGGATTGGTCAAGTGGCAGCATCGATGTAGTCAAGTGTGGCAATAGTAGTGAGGTTGGCCCAGGATCGGGCAGTGTTTTGTTCTGCTGTGCATAAGGTTGCTATGAGTCAGTACTGACTCGATGACACCTAACAGCAATAATGGGGTCTTAATGTAGTACTATAGGATAAACACTGGACTGCTTATCCTATAGTACCACAAGGTTAGCAGTTCAAATACACCTGCCGCTCCCTGGAAACCCTATACAAGGCAGCTATGGTCCGAACCCACTAGGAGGCACTTTAACAACAACAATGGCTAATGATGAATAACATGTTTTCATGTGCTTGTTGGCCATTTGAATATTCATTTGAACATTCATTTTTTTTATTGCATTTGTTTTTTTATTGCTAAATGGTACAAGTTTTAGATTTTTTTTCTTATATTAGGCTCTTATCAGATATATGGTTTCCCCCCAATTTTCTCCCAATCTATAGAGTATCTTTTCATTTTGTTGGTAAATGCTTTGATGAACAGTATTTTTTTAATGAGGTTCCATCTGTCTGTTTTGTCTTTTGCTCCTTGAACTTTTGTTGTCAGATCTGATCATCTATCATTAAACACCAGGCTCTAAAGCCTTGCCCAACATTGTCTTCTAAGAATTCTGTGGTCTTTATTTTCACATTTAAGTCCTTGATTCATTGTGAATCAATTTTTATGTATGATGTGAGACAAGGGTCCTGATTCATTCTTCTACATGAGGAAGTCCAATATTCCAGCACCCTTTACTGAACAAACTCTTCCCTCCCCCATTGAACGAACTTAGTAGCCCTGTCAAAAGATCAGTTGAATATAGTTGCATGAATTTATTTCCAGACTTTCAATTCTATTTCATTGGTCTATGTATATTATTATACCAGTGCCAGGGTTCTTCGGAGTCCTGGTGTGGCGCTGTAGGATTAGCAAGGGACCGCAAGATTGGTGGTTCAAAGTCACCAGCTGTTCCTTGGGAACCCTATCCAGTGTCACTATGAGTTAGTTGGGACTGACTCGATGGCACTTAACAACAACAACAACCAGGTTATTTTAGGAGCCCTGGTAGCATAGTGGATTACACATTGGGCTGCTAACCACAAGGTCAGTGGTTCGAATCTACCAGTTGCTCTGTGGGAGAAAGATGAGGCTTTCTGCTCCAGTAAAGATTTATAGCCTCAAAAACCCTACATAGGCTTGCTGTGAGTTGGAACCAAATCGATGGTACATAACCACCACCACCACCAGGTTATTTTAGTAACTATCACTTTATATTATGTTTTAAAATCAGGAAGTGTGAGTCTTCCTACCTTATCCTTCTTAATTTTGAAATTTTAAAGTATCATATTAAAATGTTATTTATTGGGGTATAGCAGTTGCCTGAGGATAAAGCTCAGGAGAACCAAAAGGGATACGAGAAAAGGATGAAGGGAAATGGCCCAAACATGGAGGAAGTGAGAAGGGGGCTGTTACTTTGTAAGGATTGCAGTCAGTGACACAGAACAAAATGTGTATGAATGACTGAATGTAAACCAATACGTTCTATAAACGGTCATTAAAATCACTAATTAAAAAAAAAAGAAAAAAAGATTGATCTTGATTACTGAGATCTTTTGGTATGCCCTAAGTCTTGTATCCAGGATGAGTGCCTCACTCTCCTCACCAGGAGGTGGGAGTGAGGGGGGACCTGAGGGAGAAGGGAGAATACATTCTCCATTATAGAAGGGGAAGGAGGGGCCAGCTGGGTAGAAAGGAGGAACTGAGTGTGAACCCCCCATGAGCTCAGAGATTTTAATCAAAGGCCACTAAGTACTGAGGCTGTCCCACCCAGCCGTCCTCAGTCACTCTCAGGAAGTATACTGTTAGGGTCCCCCATTTGTGCTTGTGGGACTGGACACTTGTGCCAAGCTAGGGCTGTGTGGGAAGCCTGGCCCAGATCC